TAAAAATGTGTCATGAAAGGCTAGGGGAAGAAAGGATTGTGCACAAGGCAGTGGCGTAACTTCCCTAACAACCTTAAATGTCCCATGTCCTGAGTTTAGTGAATGCAGAGCCTCTGTCAGATTTCCCTACCCCAGCAGGAGTGCTAGCACTCGTGCAGCACAGGCTCCAGCTAATTCCCCTCACCGTAAGTGACGAGGGTAGGTGATTTTCACAGGTAGGGAAATCTGATAGAACACCTGCAGGACGCATTATGTGCGCTCTTCTGGGTACATCATTCTGATGTGAATGGGGGAGTGTTCCATCCTCCTTCCCTTGCTCCCTTCAAGCAGGTGATACCTCCTTTCCTATCGGCGTCCGTCCGCTGGCCTAGAACATAACCATGCATTCCACAAGATGTGCACATGAATTAAAGGAATAGTTTAATAGATATGATCCACACAGGATTCCCTATGACGTACTAGTGTATTCAAAGAGTCTCCACAATAGACCTATGTAGAACAAAAATATATATCTTAGAACAAATGGAGAATTTAAGGGGTGATATGTTGTACCTAAAATGGTGTATAACTCACAGTGAGTTCAAAGAAAGGATATACCAAGTGTATATAGTGCATATAAAATAAAAATGTGTAAACCATATATAATAGATAACCGAATCTAGCGTGATACCCAGTAAATTAATAAACGTGTCAGGTCCTTCTGTCTTTTTAGGGGAGATGGGGACCCCCAGGTATTGGAAAAGCTGGATCGTGGTTCTCAGGCTACTGGGTGGAAATAAGTTACTCTCAATAGTCAAGAAGTCATCTAAATAGTGAATAACTGTGGGGCATCTACAGACATTGAACAGTAGCCAGCATAAATTCTCAGTGAAGGTAACGAAAATCCTGGGGCTACTTTTTGCACCAAAAGTGAGAAGAGTGAAAAAATAGTAAGAACCCTGCCACTTAACACCAAAGAAGAATGGATTGGGAGGAGCTTGAAGGCGTTAATGATGTCAGACTTACTGAGCCATGCCCCCTTCCCTGCTGTCATTATTGCGTCAATGGCGTTATCCATAGTAGCATACTGAAGGGAGAATTCCTCTGAAGGAATGAGAGAGTTCAGACTGGGGGTCGTGGAAGAGTGGGGAGCAGAGAGGTCGACAATCAACCTTTGCTTGACTGAACTTTTACCAGAGACCGCCCCTATAGGGTTAGTTTCTCCATGAGAAAGGTGGGGAACTGAACGGCCCAAGTAGGAAACCTTGATCCAATACAATCTGTAACAGATTGTTAACCACTATTGAATTGTCAAGGGCAGACAGTAGGTTCTTACATTCCACAATGCCGAATGGCATGTAAATGATTCCCGTATGGAACCCTACCGTGAATCCAGTCACCAAAAACCAAGTGGAGTGAGGGATGGTTATGTAATAAGTCGGCGAAACAAGTCACATTGATTGAGGCCATGTAGGGTTTGGGAAACAATTAATTTGGCCACATTGTCTTGGCATGTGCCCGAAAACAAAGAGAACACACATGCAATAACTGGCAAGCACTAAATCCACATGAACCTGCATTAAAGTTATTGCAAATCTGGGATTTACCCAGAAAAACAATATTATGACCAAGCTTGTCCTTAATCACCTTCTCAGGTTTAGCTGAGGAGGTCGGGAAAGGAAAGGTAGCACCCAGCTCTGGGGTATTAGGACATAGGTTCGTGGTATGTGAGGACGAAGAGCAAATACCACAAGCTGGGGACCGGAGGCCCGCGAAGTGCCTGCAAAACAGCTCCGTGTCCAACTGGCTCCAGTCCGTCTGAAAATTGAACTGAGCAAGAGCTGCAGACGCCTTCGCGGAGAATAATCTGTGGTAATCATAAAATGATGTACCTCCATACTTATGCCGCATGTCCACCAGCTTGTGTAAATACAGATCAAATTCCACTCTAGGTCCATATAAATGAACTCAGGAATTGACAACTTCCTGTTCAACCTGGGGTCCCTAGCCTTCAGTACAACAGAGACATCCCCATGGGAATATGTATTTTTCTCCAGAATATCTTGGGAGGCAATTAGCAGTGAAACTAGATTGACATCCTTGCCTTTCAAGATATCCTTCTTGATATTAGCTGGTACCATGTGAGCTGGGTTGATAATACTAGAGTTCTGTAGTGGACCAATGAATTTACCAGTCAGGGTGCCTGAGAGACCAGTAGGTTTTGGAGTAACCAATCCAGATGACACACACAGAGGGCCTGGGGACATGACTGATGATAGGACGACCTGGAGGTCGGATGACTGGGCAACACTGGGGCCCTCGCCAGCCCCGGTGTTATCCGTGTTGGTATTGAGCAGTCTATAAAGTTAAGCCTTCCTGGCAGTGGCAGGGTAGTGAATATTCCTACGCCTTAATTCGCTCGTGAGCCTAGGTATGGTCCAAGACCTGAGGGAAGACAGGCTGGTGTTGTCTGCTCCGTGAGATGGAGAGATGGACCTTGCAGGAGTGCTGGGAATTGACAAATCCTCAATAGCTTCTGGTAGTTCAAACATGCCAAGATAGGACAAAAATTCATGAGTAACCAAAGTAATAATATCTTAATGGCTAGCTTATATAATGCCAAGTGGCGAAGAAATTATCTAATAATGGAGATGGGAGCCCTGATAATTGCCAAGTGGCATGAGAGGCTCTAGCTATGTGTTGGCCTGAGGGGACTTTGTGGCCACCGAATATGTGGTGGGGTGGCGACCTCTCATTGACCAGTAAAGCAAAAGAGAGCATGGGAGTGACAGGGGGAGGCCCTCTGTATACCACCATGCAAGGCGACTAACTAAAGTACTCACGCCCAATGGCCAACTCATAGAGTATGAGGATGGGTGTTGGCCTCGCGGGACCACTAAGACAAGGCAAGAAGGCTAGAAAAACTAAATAAGTGGACTCTGAAGTCTATCAGCCAGTAGACAAAGTCTTACCCTAGTGTCAATTGCAGGATGCGGAGGAGGGAAGATGTAACAACCACTGGGTTCACATACCTATTGTATCAGATGGATATAGAGTAGAAAAGAGTAGATGAAAACTGAGCAATACCTATGAGAGAAATAGCAATGTTGTAGTACCCAAATCGTGACTATTAAATAGCAAAAAATAAATAAATAATAATATGGGATACCTACCAGCCAATAGACTAGGCCTAAAATGAACCAGGCAAAGCGTAAGTGGTAGTGAAACCAGTAGGGCCTAGTACCTAATAACATAAAAGGGAACAATTAGGTTATCTGGGCAGGGAGGGTCACATCGTGGATCCCCAAGACTAAAAGAAAAACGAAACCACTAACTGATGTGAAATTATAGAAATTGAAAAAAAAGGAGATGATAGTGACTTCAATCTGTAATATATAATTACACCAATAGAAGAACCTTCAAGTGAACATAACTGACTACTAATTGACAAAAAATAAAAAAGGACCCATCTAAAGCGAATTGGACAATTGAAACTGAGTCAACCAGGACCTATGAGACTTGACAAACCTTCAGGGCCACAGCCAAAAAGAAGGTTCAAACCCTGCAACCTATAAAACATCTTGTTACAAAATATTTAATAGGCAGAACAAAATCTAGCAACAATGCGCTGCTCAATTAAATTTAAAAAGAAAGTAATGATCTAGGGTCCAGCAGCCTATCAAGCATATACATACAATTATACGAATGTCCGCATGGACTCAAGGAATACCTATTACTATAACAGGGCATTCGGCTGTAATTATCCGAACGCCTCAAAGAGGAGCAAAGAGCTGCATAACAACCGCATGCTCCAGTGTAACCAAACACTATAACAGACAATCGTAAGTAACGTTCCCACACTAGTCCCAGACCTGTTAGGCTCCAGCAAAAAAGTAAGAGAACCTCTAGATGCTTCTGGGCTAAGCTGCTGGCTAGCACAGGGCCATTTCTGACTACTCCTGTACCAACTAAAATGGACCAAGTCCGCAGAGAGCGGAAGCCTGGGAGACCTCTCAAGGGCGCAATGCTGTCCTTCACCTCAGACATCCACACAAGATTCCCACCTGGGCTAAGAGCAAAAATGGTCACGACCCACAGGTACCGGCCACACATGCAGAGGGCTACAAGGCACAAGCGACAACACACAGCGAACGACCGCAGGAACCACCGCACCATCCTGACAGAGAAGACCCTGGACCTCAGCGGAACCCAGGCTCGTGCAAGTGGGTACCGGCTCTCCCACAGCACCGGGGCTGGAGGGGTGTCTCACCTCCACGATGCTGCACTAACCCCCCCAAAAGGACTGAGTCTAAACATGAGAAGCAAGCCCCGCAGGGGTGTTGGATGACTGCTTAACCTGCCAACCCGAGGGGCCTACATGGTAGCCAGCAGGGCTGCCATCAGAAATTGTGGGGCCCCTAACACAGCTCAAGATCTGGGCCCCCGGGTGCCCGCCTCCAAATCCTGCCCACAGGAATACACACACACAGACACAAAAGGACACAGACACACACACAGAAAGATACAGACATACTAACAGACACAAATACTGAAACAGACATACACAAATATAGACACATACACATGCATAAGGAGATACAGATACACACACACACACACTGACGTACATACATACTCACATACTGACACACACACACACACACACACAGACATACATGCATACTGACATACATACTGATAGATATATACATACATACTGACACACACACACAGACATATATAGATACTGACATACACACACAGACATACATACTGACATATATACATACTGACATACACACATACATACTGACATACACACACAGACACATACATACACAGACATACATGCATACTGACATACATACACATACATACTGATATATACATACATACATACATACACACTCATGCATACTGACATACACACACACACAGACATACATGCATACTGATAGATAGATATATACATACTGACAAACAGACATACACACCTCATTTATCAGCCACCCTCCTCTTACCTTTAAGTTGCAGATGGGAGCGGATGCCTCTCCTGTACCTCTCCTCTGCTCTCCCTCTCATCCCGCGCGGAGTAAGCTGGGAGGAAGTGACTGGCCGTCATTTCCTCCCAGCAGGACTTGTAGCCGCAATTTTTTTTAAAGGGGCCCGGTCGCACAATTACACGGCTGCAGCGCTGACCGGGCCCCTGAAGATATAGGGCTCATCGGTTAGCCCTAAATGCTTGGGCCACCTGATGGGCCTGGTGCAGATGCACCTGCAGCAGTTTCGCCGCTCCACGTTGGGCCCGGGCGGACCCCCTGATGGCGGCCCTGGTAGCCAGCAACCTGGGTCTACGGAGTAATAAAAAGGAATCCCTTAACTAACTTTGAGGAGACACACTTTAGTCTGTGTTATTTCATGCCTATTTTCTCCTGCCGTTACTTTCCTACTTATAGTAACATAGCACCTAGATCAAACATGTCAAACTCAAAGTCTGGCATGGGCCACATAAACAAGGTTTAAGTTTATGTGGGCTGCAAAACAAAATGCCTTAAATTTTCATAGAAACATAGGTTTATTTTAAAAAGTACAGTATAAAAAAAAACAGCACCCCCCTCTACTAAACCACAGCACCCTCCCTCTACCACCCTGTGCCAAATCTGATCCTCCCACTGACACACACACATATTCACTGACAGACACACACACACACACACACACACACATGCACACATATTTACTGACAGACACACACATACTTACTGACAGACACACACACACTCACTGACATATACACACACACTCACTGACAGACACACACACACACACATACTGACAGACACACACATACTCTCTGACAGACACACACACACACTCGCTGACACATACACACACATACTCACTGACAGACACACACAGATATTCACTGACAGACACACTGATAGACACACACATACTCACTGACAGACACACACATACTTACTGACAGACAGACACACACACATACTCACTGACAGACACACACATACAGACACACACACACACACATACTCACTGACAGACACACACACTCACAGATAGACACACAGACACACACACTCTCTGACAGACAGACACACACACACACTGACAGACACTCACACTCACACACTTACACATTCTTGCAAACACATACTTCTTTATTGCGCCCTACCTTTTGGAGCAGATGTGGGGCATCTCCCAGGGGTCCTTCTATCTGCTCCTCACTTCACTACAAACGGCGCGCACGAGGGAGCAGTGAGAAGCAGAAACTCTGAGCTCCCTCACTGGCCTTTCTCCGGCCAGGTAAGTGTTAGCAGAGTAAGCACCTGCAATGTGGGGAAAGCAGGTGTCTACTCTGCTATAACACCAGCAGGTACTCGCAGCTCGCCAGGCCGCAAAGATGGTCCTTTTAGGCTGCATGGGCCCGCGGGCCGTGAGTTTGACATGCTTGTCCTAGATGCTTAGCCTGATACCTTCACGTTTCTATTGCCTGCCTATATCATAAAATTGTGCATGTTTCTCATATACCCCACATGCATCGAGTGTTGTAATATTAATATGCACTGGAAAAAAAAATATAAATAAATAAAAGTTGCAGATGAAAGGGACTTCATTTGTTTTTAATGGATTTGTTTCTTTTTGTTTATAAGTTTAAAGTTTTTTTCTTGGAATGTCTTTAACCTTTTCAAGAACTATCTAAACTAGAGCAAGCATGTCAAACATGCGGCCCACAGTGAACATATTTGCGGCCCGCCTGCCCTGGGGCTGCTTTTAGCTGTGGCTGTGACCAGCAAGGCAGGAAAAATATTGCAGTGTGTTAAATTGGGGGGAGGGAGGGCAGTATATTAAAGTAGAGTGGTGGGAGTGGGGGCAGTCTGTTCAATTAGAGTGGAGGGAGAAAAGGCAGTGTTAAGGCAATGTATTATATTGGGTAAGGGGGCAGTGTATGGTGGAATGGATAAGTGGAAGGAGGAGGGGCAGTGTGTTGGATTTGGGTGCAATGTACTGGATTTGTGGGCATTGTATTAGAGTGGGAGGAGGGGCAGTGAATTATTAGATTAGGTCTGCATGGAGGCGCTGAATGCTCCCCATGGAGATGCTATTTGGCCACGCAGCTTTTTGCCACGCATGCACAATAGCCTCCCAATGCTTTCCTATGGGAAAGCATTGGATTGGCTGAGATCCTCAAGTTTGATGATCTCAGCCAAAGTGAAGAACACACTCATAGAACTTCAAAATCAACAAGATAACGTAATTTGTATTTTATAGCTGTGCAACAGCATATATTCACCATTTCAGTCCAATTACCAAACGTTTCTTAATATGTCAAGGTAGTGGGACTGAAAAGTTGTTTATATGTAAATGCTTTTCTTAAAATAAATTCGCTCTATTGTTTATTTTGAAGCCCTACGAGCGCGAGGACGTCCAGTGTCAGTTAGCCAACTTTTTTTATACTGTACTTTTCTATAAAACCTATCTTTTTATGGAAACTGAAGTTTTGTTTTTTTGCGGCCCACATAATCGTAAACCTTGTTTATTTGGCCCGTCTTAGCCTTTGATTTTAAACATGCTTGATCTAGAGTTTTTTCTCATCATACTCCTTTTACTCCAAATATTGCCATTTGACTCTAGTTGCCTGGATTATGTAATTTTGGTCATCTGAGCATTGGCACCTAATCCTTAAAAACTGACCTCCGGGTGCATTGGTTAACCAGGGTTTGTGAGGACAACTTTTCTTATTAATGTAACCATTAGCATCCACGGCTTTAAAATAATTCATAGTTTTTATTTCAGAGTTTTGGATGTATATATGAAGGTCCAAGACATTAATTTTGAGAACGCTAAAAGTAGAGGTTAAAACTATTCCCCAATTGCTGTAAAAATATTATAAAATAATTTAGGTGGGCCTGTCCATCTAAAAAAATATATAATCTATGAACCAGCATTAGGCCACCAAACTCGCATTCAGGGGTGTCTTTGGTAGACGAACTTCTCCCAGTATGCCATAAACAAATTGGCCTAACTGGGTGCGAATTTGGAGCCCATCGCTGTTCCACAAATTTGTAAATAAAATGTGTTTGGAAAACAAAAATAATTATTGGTCAAGATAAGTAAGATCCCCTCTAAAATATACTCAATTTGATCTTTCTCATATTTTGCTTTGGATAGAAAATACCTGATACCTTTTGGATAGAAAATACCTGCTTCTAACCCTATTTGATTGGGTATAATACTATATAAAGAAGTGACATCATATGTCATTGGAATATTATCGTCTTTCCATGTTATTTATTCCAAAAGTTGTAAGACATATATTGTGTGTTTTAAATAAGCTGGATATTTTACAATTATTGGTTGAAGCAGAATATCTAGATATTCTGAAACTCTAGACGAGATGGAGTCTATCCCTGCAATAATTGGCCTTCCTGGTTGATTCTGGGTATACTTATAGACTTTGAGTACATGGTAGAAGACTGGGTCCCTTGGATATGAGGTACATAGATATTTTGCTTTACTTTCATTTACGATACCTTTTTCCAAACCTTTTTCAATATATTTATAGAATTTCTCTTTCACTTTCTCTGTGGGGTTCATATGTAACTTCTGATATGTTGCAAGGTCAGAAAATATTCTGCTTCTTGTATGTATTTATCTTTTGGGAGGACTACTACTCCTCCTCCTTTGTCCGTGGGTTTTATAATTTTGACTTCATTTTTCCTCATGTCTTTTACTGATGTCTTCTCACTAACTAACATATTTTGTTGATATTTGTTTAATGGTTTGACCTTACCAATTTCTCTCTTAATCATACTTTCTAACATTTTAATTTCATCCAAAATCATATTTCTGGAAAAGAAATGTGACTTCTTTTTAAGGTTTGTATGGATAAATTCCATGGTTTATTCTACTGGTATGACTTCCTTCTGATTGTGGAAGGATTTCTCAAGGTTGATCTGAGACATAAAGTTCCATCTGGGTTTATTTCTTCCCTCTCTTCTTTGTTTCTAATTTCCTTCTCTTCTAACTCTCCTTCCTCAATCGACCGTTGCATGTTCCCAGTAATTGAGGTTTATGACTGTGAAACTCTGACACTGACATTCAGATTACACATTACTCTGTGTTTTATAGCTGTGGAGATTGGTGATTCACTACTATGCACTGTACGAATTTGTGTGTGTGTGTGTGTGTGCGCGCTCGCCAAGAGGCATCTTACATGGTGGAATTGGGAAGGGGCAGGGTGTTCTTTTTAGTTTAAGTCTTGGGTGTTTTTACACACCCAAGTTTAGGATACAAAATTTATTTAAACTTATACATAAACTGTCAAACCAACCACGTGGTATGTTTGATTAAATGCCCTTGTGGCAAGTGCTATGTAAGACAAACGAGCAGTGCCCTGACTACCCGCATAGAGAACCTAAAAGTGCCATTAGAACTGGTGTAGTGACTTCATCAGTAGTCCGTCATTTTATGGAAGCTGGACACCGTGTGTCCCAACTTCAATTCCTGGGGATAAAGAAAAAGTCCCCCTCGAAGTGGGAACAGATTAAAACTTCTCAGACAGAAAGAAATGTCAAACCAAATGTACAAATTAAACCCATTATATCCAACAGGTATGAATGAAGACAGAGACTTTAGTTGTTTTAGACAACAGATTGGATTTATTTGCCTGTGTTTGGTTTTATAATTTGTTTTATATATTTTTTAGCTTTTTTTCCAAATATAAGGGCATTTGTATTTGGATGGAAGTGGGAATGGAAAAAGCACAGCGTGATGAAAAATTTATGATCACAGAAGAGGAGAATTATGAGCACTGCACAAGCAAAGAATTGATTAACAGTGTTCTCCAACCCAGTCCTCATGAACCACCTATAGTCCAGGTTTTATCAGTATCTCCATTGGAATAAAACAGGGAAATACAAAATCCTGGACTGTTGGTGGTCCTCGAGGACTGGGTTGGAGAACACTGGATTAGAAGACCCTTTTGAGTGATATTATATTGGGTCAACATGTTCATTATATCTTTGTTTCTACTTAGATTAATGTGATTGCTTGCTTATCCAGGCGACCTGTGGGAACTATGGTTTCCCCAGTCGTTTGGGTCAGCAGCAATACAAAAAACGTTTTTTTTTTTTTTAAACATGTGGGGCCGCATGTAAAGACACACATACATTTACGGGTTTGTGTATTTATTTTTGTCCATGTCTCTTAAATAGACATGTTCAATTCGTTTCGTTCCTATTGGTCTTTATCAAAGTGCTACGTGTGGTTACAAACTAATGCATTTAAACATCTTGAAAAAGGCGCGTTGTTGATCTTCATCATACGACTTCCGGTTCCGGTTACGACATTTCGGAGTATTTCCGGGTCAGGGGTCAGCAGTCGTTTTCTGTCTCCGTTAAGTTACTTTTTTCCGGATTGAGGTAAGCGTATTTGCTTCATAGTAAAGTTCTAAATGCGCACGTGCGACACAAAATGTAAACAAACGTCCGTATAGAGCAGGAACCTTATCTTATATATTTATAAATAATAAAAGCTTAAGAAATACATATTAAAAATAATGATATTGTATCTTAAACAATTTAAATACACTCATTAATATAAAACATAAAAGTTATAAAAACGAAACATATTTGATATGAAGAAGGGGAGAAAAAAAATATGGTCAAAAATGATTATAAGTACATTACAATAAATATCAATTCAAACACTAAATATTTGAAACCAATATATATATATATATAACAAAAAGATTAACTATTTAAGAAGCTATATAAAAAAACTGGAGTAAGGGTGTTGAGGTTAAACATCCACCTCATTTCTGCTCAACTTAAAATATTATCTTTACACCCTCCCCTCCAGTGTACTTTTATATTGTCTATAGCTAAAAACCGAAGGCCTTCTGGGTTACCCCCTTGTTGTTCTGCAAAATGTTTAGAAACACTATGGTTCAAGAATTTTTTCTTTCTGTTATTAATATGTTTGCCTATTCTGACCTTATTGGTAACCACATGGGCAGGTTAAAAGATATATTACATTGATCGTATTGCACGTTATTAATGTATGAATCTTGTACTCTTCATCTGGATTTCTACTTGATGTGAATTCTTTAATACTTCTACTTGGATTTTTCCTCAGTCTACATCATGTACAATTGCCGCAATAATAAAAACCTTTTTGTCCTTCTAAATAAGTGGTGTCTTTTTTTTCCTTATCTAAAAAGCTTTCTGTTAAAATCTGCCTAAAATTCCTGGCTCCTCTAAAAATAAATTTAGTTTGGTCACCCATAAATGGTAAAATATCCAAATCTTCCTTTAAAACATGCCAGTTAAAAAAAAAACAAAAAAAAAACTTTACAAACATTTATTATTAGTGCTGAAATTTAAAATTATAGGGATACACTCGTTCTTTTTTTCTTCTTTATTTTGATATTTCAAAAGTTGGTTTCTATCCCTTCTACCTATATCGTCTCTGGTATTTTCAATGGAAATTGGATCGTACCCCTTTTCTATAAACTGTTGTACTAAATTAGATGATTGATTATAATAGTCATTAAAGTCGGTACAGTTCCTTCTAAGTCTGAGGAACTGTCCCTTTGGTACATTAGTGAGCCAAGGTTTAAAATGGTAGCTTTGCAAATCAATAAAACTATGAACATCAACTTTTTTAAAATGGGTTTTGCTTTTAATTTGGTTTGATTCTATAAAAACATCCAAGTCTAAAAAGTTAATATTTTGATCACTAATACCGCAAGTGAGTTTTATGTTCCAGTCATTAAAATTTAGTTGATCTAAAAATTCTATCAGGGAGTCTTTTTTGCCCGTGGGAATTAGGGAGTTATCTACTAAGCGGCTGTAAGAGAAGTGCCGAAATTCCGAAGTTGCCTAAGTGTCGAACCAAGCCGAAGTGCCGAAGTCCCGAATTTCCCATGCACATCCCTACTCTTAAATATATCACTATTCTTGAGGGTGTATATTATAACATATTGATTATGGAATGATAGGATATACCATCTAATGACAATCTTGGAGTCAGATTGAGAAATCTACATGCATTATTTAATGGTTTAAGAATATTGGAAGTGTGGTGAATATATGTTGTAGATATTACTATTTTGATTATTTGTTTGCAGATCCTAAGTGGGTAGCGCTGTTTATGCTCATTTCCTCTCCTAGCCATCTGTAGTATATTCGCAGAGACAGAATGCACTGCCTCCCAATATGAATGCATAATGGTACTGTCTCTTGAAGTGCTATTTATAAAAATGAATGCGCATGCACGCAAATCCATGTGAGGCTTCTTGGTCATTAGTAGTACCCGTAGGTAAGTTGACAGAGGTACGGACACGTGCACTATACAATGCGGAAATGCGCACGGGAGCATGTCCGCATTTATACACAGAGATATTGAATCCCTGCACCCAAAGGGTAGAACGGAGGGGATTGTTAGTACCCGATTACACCTATGACTATAATTATATCCATGATTGGATTAAGGATGGCATCTGAACTGAATGTATTTGTGAGTGATGACGTCACACACTATAACGTAATGATGTCAGGGTGCTGGTTATGAGACCAAGTAGGTAGACTTAAAGAAACACACCTGTTGTTTAATTCTACCCCTATCAGAGCACTAGAATATGGAAAGGTGGGTGGGCACTTGAATTTTAGCATGGTACATAAGGTACCTGAGACCATTAGTGAATGAGACTCCCGTGACAAGTTTGGTCTCCAGCCTTAGGTTAGTATAGATGATTATTCACCTGAAGGTAACCTTGGTGCACTTTATTTATATGGTATAAGGTATATATATACTGGGTATGTTTTGCACTTTATCTCTACTTTATGTTGTATAGTGATGATATGATATTGTATGTACTCAATAAATATTTTGGCGTGAATTGATGTGCTGTATATTTTGTTTATTTTAGTATATGTGATCTTGATACGGTAACAAGATTTACCACCTTATAGCACTCTGTCTTTAATGCATGTTTTTAACAAGGAGGGAACAAGACAGATGCGCCACCAGAAACGTTGGATGACTAAAGATGAAGTCTTTCTTTTTTGTGACTGTTTAGTCAAGGAGAGTCGATACACCATAACCTATTCAATGAGCATGCATTGTTACAGAGCTTAGCATGACCATTATATTATATAATAGAATAATGCTTGGGCTCAATTGTATCTGGTACAAACAATTACTTTGTATTTTATCATTCTTTTAACAGATCATAGTTAAAGAACCACTAGTCACCCATGCCACTGGTGCAGTTGTATTCCCAACACTTTAATGTTCCTTTGAACGTATAGAAGAACAAGGTTATTCATAGTCTTAAATTAGAGGGGCAAAGGTTTAAAAATAGAATCAGGAAGTATTAGTTTACTCAGAGGGTGGCGGATGCATGAAATAGCCTTCCAGCTGAAGTGGTAGAAGTTAACACAGTGAAGGAGTTTAAGCATCCGTGGGATAGGCATAAGGCTAAAAGATAAGGCCAGGGACTACTGAGAGTATTTAAAAAATTGGGCAGACTAGATAGGCCAAATGGTTCTTATCTGCCGTCACATTCTATATTTCTAGATTTAAACTCCAAATTATAGGGATTTCAAATCTGAATACCTTAAATAGTTGATATGGAAAAAAAGTAAAACTATGGCAATAATTGCCATTCACATTTTAATCTGAAGGTATTAAGGAAGCGAGCATCTGTCATCTATAATTATACAATGTTATTAAAAAATAGGTGGTAATTCAACTCTGCTACATAGGTGGTTAGGTTGGCGTTTTATTAACAGGAACAACGGTTTCAGGCTCAACTTACTTTCCTTTCCAATCATAGTTTTCACTACCTGTTTTCACCTGCCGTCTGACTACAGCCATTTTTTTTCATTACCATTTTTCTTATGTTCAAATTTATCTGCATTAGCTCAGTGAAAATACCGAAAATCTAGGCAATTTCTGCAAAATTAATGTTAGACGTTGGTGTTAATTGCTTTAATACCTGATTGCATAATAATCTGATAAGTGGGATCGAAGCGTTAATGTCATGCTCTCGCTTAGCATTAATAATTGAACCTGCAAATATGTTAAGATCACACATAACATGTAAACTTTCTCTGCCATTTTGTTAGTAACAACATAATGAAAGTAATGTCCAATGAACATTACTAAAAATGTAGAAATGTTACTGATATTCTTGTACATTAAAGATTGCTACAAATAACAAGGTATATAAGTAAAATTAGTAGGAAAACAAAATATTAGCAGAAGGAATTAGAAATTGTTATAGAACAAACTGCCAACAAATATATTGATGAAGGGGTGGAGGGGGGGGAAGAGAAATAGTAGCCTTTGCTGTGATGCCTCATCTTGTATGTAAATTAATGGCAAAAATGTAGATTAAAAGGAACATTTCAATGTTATATATATATATATATATATATATATATATATATATATAATAGAACTAACCTGGGTGCCTCCTAGTGCAGCAATATAGTAGGTCAAAGAAGGAGCACTCACAGGATTTTAGATGAAGAACAGTGTATTCACAGGATCAACAATTTTTTTTTAAAAAATCAACGTTTCAACCCTCCTGAGTCTTTATTAAGATACATGATAAATCTTGATAAAGACCCAGGAGGGTCTTTATCAATGCATGTTCCGGGTGTGCCTGCAATTCCCCTTTTTGCAGTTTTATCTTGAACACTGCCACCTACTGGTAAACGTAGTAATGTCTCATGCCCTAGAACAGAATAATGAATGTTTTAAAGCCATACATGTACATCTTCTGTTTAAATCTAGTAACTGTTTACCATTTTGTTCATTTGCTGCCCACTCCCACTATTAGGGTGTTACGGCCATTTTGTCTTCTCATTTTCCACCTTTTTTTTAGTCTGCCATCTACATCACTTTCTTGTTCTTTGTCAAAAAAAATTCTGTCTTCGTGGTCTTTCTCCTTAATATCCACATCAGAACATCTTTTCTATATAAGCCTCTCTAGCTCTGTGAGCCGAATCCACCCTTCTTTCAATTTACTTCTGTGTACAGTGTTATTGTCTCCCACTACTAGATCCCTCCCATTTGATTACCATTATCTCATTCTTCTAGTTTCTACAAACGTTCTTCCCAGTGGTGCCTTGTTGGGTGGAAGACTGCATGCCGCTGGGCTCCAGGTGGAAAACAACATTATCATTGCCATGTCCAGATATACAAATGAAGCAAAAAGTGGAATATGTCATTTGCAGGGAAGGCTGTGACAGAAAAAGAACAGCTGAAAGGTCACACTTTCTGAATCTTAGCAAAATAAATTAAAATAGCCCCACCATGACTGTTGGAACATCTCTTTGCTTTTCGTTCCATGTCTGTTAAAAAAACACTAGCATTCGGAATACAAAACAGTATTTCTAACACTCTAGTGTCGCTCTGCCTCTGTGAACCCCCCTCTCCCCAACCTGGTGATTAAAGGGTTAAATCCCCCCCTTTTCACTTACCTCTTTTCCAGCTCCAAGATCCCTCGGTGCTGGATCGATCGATCTCCTCCTGTAATGACACACATCTGGAGGAACCTAATGTGTATGTGTGGTGAGTGTCGCACGCATATCAAACCTTCTCCATAAGAAGGCACTGAATCGATGCTTTACTATGGGGGTTTTGGAGATGCTGGACGCCCTCAATCAAAGTGTTAGGACGTCCAACGTCGCTTCACAGAGCTAAACTCCGTGAGAGAGCTGGAAGACAGCTAGTAGTGGTTGTCTTAACCATGCAATGTAAACATTAAGGGGACAGGGGCCCTTCATTGAGATGAAGTGGTTGGTGTGCCTACAGTGTCCTATTACCTCTTTCTTTCACGATAATGCATGCACACCAATTACTATACTCCCTCACACTGTGGGGATATTTATGGGATAATAATAGTAACAGTGAGAATTGCCCACTAATTCAATTCTCAGATCCCAAAGAACGTTTATCGTGTTAAGTGAGAAGTATATCATATAAATAATATTCACAATTTATAAAAATAGATTTATTTATAATAACAAATTAATTAATAATAATAATATGTAACATGCGTGACAATCATCAATGAATATCCAGTATAAAATGATATGCAATACAAAGGAATGGGTATTACGTTTCAATGGCTAAATAGCATTATCTGTCAAGACTTTTGACGATTTATGAGGTATC